GTGCCAGGCAACAAGACTTCAAGGAGGCTGCTTTGGTGATTTACTGCGTGCGTTTGGCTATGGCATTTCTAGCAAGAAATTCAGATGTATAGCTAATTTTTTTTTTTCCAACTATGAAATTGATAAAGGCATAGAGGATTCCACAGTACTGTGGAATCAGTAGGCTAATCAAGTCCTGGGTTTTAGCAGTGTATGCTAATATATCATGTGTTAACTAATGTGGATGAGTAACCATGAATGAGTAATCGTTTTCCAGAGAAGCGGTTTCCAAAGCGTTCTGCCTTTCGGTTTAATGCTGGTCAGGTTTCACACTCACAGGTAAGCTGTAAGAAAAGGTGCTTTGGTATAGTTTGTAACAGACAGGCAAGTCGGTGGTAACAGCCTCTGCCTTTGGAGGCGTCTGCGCTACATGCTGAGCTTCAGCTTCCATCAAACTTCCAACGTAGTGAAAGGCTTCCTTAGACTGAAGGTCTCTAGTTCCTAGAGACTTTGAGTGTGAGCAGTTCCACCACAGACGTCAGTGACCTGAAAAGGTGCCTCGCAAAGAGGCGTAAAGGGCCAAGGCCATGAGAGTGGTCTGTCTGGTTCCTTTCCCAGCACTGGTATTGCAGAATTATTTTGTTTGTGGTCTTGTGCTGCTGCAATTTGTCCTGCACTTTAATGGAGATTTTTCCCATTCCCCAAAACCTGGGAAACTTCTTCAGCTTCAGTTGCAGCTGAGGTGGAGGCAGCATGATGGAGCCCCCTTAAAGTCACAGGAGCTGTAGCATGTGCCCTGTAGGATCCTCTGTGTCCTTCTGCTGGGCCTGTCACACCTTCCCTTTAAATATGCTGCAAGGGGATTGGGAAGTGGGAATGGGGAAGAAGCAGCTGTAGTGGTTAATAGGCAATCAGGTGTCATTTAGATTTGCTGAGGGATGAATACACTCTATTGATCCAAGTATGAGTCATGCCAATATTCAGGTGAGTCTTCAAAGAAGTTCAAGATCATCAAGTGTGCTGTGATAAAATGCCAGGGCGACCCTGTGGAACTGGTAACGGGGTGTTGCCTGGTGGTTCAAAGCACTTATGGTCTCAGTCCTCTTGTTCTGAGGGGTTGGTGGGTGTTTGCCAGCCTTAGACAATCATCTCCAGGCAGGACAGAGCAAGCTCCCCAGTTCGTGCCAGTATTATTCTTGTCCTAAGCATGAATATACAACTTAAGTCTTGGAGGTCATCAGTTGGTTTCTCTTGTAAGCATGAACGAGTATCCAAAGTTAAAAATTCACCATGACTGTGTATTTCCTTCCAGAAGTGTGTAGGCATTGTTACTGCCCCAGTGTTTGGTGATAACCTGTCAGTTCAGTGTGTGCCTGCACGTACTCCAAATACACATTATTGGTGGCTGGTTGTGAGCTTTTTTTTTTTCCTTTGAATGCTGCAAACTTCAAGTTTTTGACAGGCATTCAGCCCTGGTACATTTTTGTGGTGGTGTAAAAGGTGTGTTGTGTAAACCACAGCTGTGTGACTAAGGAGCTTCATTATAGTTGCTCTGTGATGAAAAATATTTGTGTTTGAAAATCTCAAGGAGACTGGGCAATGGTCTGCTATGGAAACTTGCGTTTCACAGGAAGAAAACAGTTTCAAGTTGATGGCATGGTTTCGGGGGGTTTTTTAGGTAATATATAATAATTAGGTAAATACATTTTTTTAAATGGACTAATTGTAATAGCTAGAGACCTCAACTAAAATTAGAGCCCTGTGTGCTAGAAGTGTGCAGATGATTTTTCTAGCCCTTCATCTCATCGCCCATCCCTTGAGAGGATGCGAGAGGCAGGGGAAGGGAAGCACCTCCGCAGCCTTTCTGCGCGGTGTGAGGAGGCATCTTGGGGTTGTTTCGAAGACCCAGGTTTGACAGGCAGCCACCAAGTTCTCCCTCCTGGGGAGATGGGGCGTCAGGAGGGGCTGTGGGCCCTTGTGCAGGTGAGGGGCAGGGCCGTTCAGCAGCACGGGCAAGGGGAAGGAGTAGCGAGGGATGTCATCGTGAGGCTGCAGGTGCTGATCAGGTGCCCAGTCAACTGCTTTATCCACCAAACCGCCCCTTGCCTCTGCTTTTCAGGTTGAAAATTTTGGAAAGAAGGGAGTCAAATTCAGGGATTTTCTCAGGAATTAGTCACCTGGAAGCTCCTGGAAAAGAGGCCTTCTTACCCAGCTGCTGAGGTGGTTTTACTTTCAGGCCATAACAAAACTTTCAGTTTTACCTTGACTGCTGCAGTTCCTTCTAAATATTATTTAGTATGTACTTTCTACTTTTTTCTCTCTAGAAAGGAGGTAAGAAGAGATCCATACTGACTGCAGAGCTGCTAAGTGATCAGCCGTGCTCACCCTTCGTTTTCTGTGGCAGGATTCACCTGGGAAGGAATCCGGATACCACCCAGGCCAGTATTCTGATTCTGTTGCACCTCTAAGGCTGGGCATGGATTTCCATCTCTCTCCTCTGGAAAGAGCACCCCAAGGCCAGTCCAGTTCAGGCTGGCACCCCCCAGGGGTGAGCAGGAACCGGAGGCACCCCAACGCCAGCCATGAGTTTGAAACTTTCAGATTATCAAGAATTTTGGTTTTATTCAAGATAGGTATTTTTGCAAAGGTAGTGGAAAACATAGTGTTCTGTAACGGAAAAATAAAAATATCTTCCATATAAAAGAAAAAGCCAAGAAGCCAGTTTTGGTGTAAAATCTTTAGTTTTTACTTGTGCTGCATAGAATGATGTACACAGTGTATGTAAGGAGATTGACAGTGCTTTCTCCTGTACGTTCCCTAGTTCATATTTTCGAGCGTTCACATTTCAGTATCTAACTACCTACTGCAATACATAATTAAGACTATAAAACACCCAGTAGTGGCTTTTGCGGGTTATGGCTCAGAAACGTAAAATTTAACTTGGAGGAAAACGTCTGAGCTCTCAAAAAGAGGCTGTTTTCACATAGCGGTAGAAAACGAGAGAAATTTTAGCCTGAAACAAGAAACTCTTCAGGCAGGGTGAGGGGTGAGAACGTGAAAGTAATCAAGGTAACGTGTAATTCTGAACTGCCTGGAATTCCTCGGAGCGGGACAGGGCTTGGCTTCCCTCAGTGCCTTCAAAGCCTTTATTCAACACCTCCAGGGCGAGCGGGTAACACGGGCAACTGCTCGTGGCAGCCACGTTTGCTCCTGTAAATCTGGTGAGAGAGAGCAGCTGGTAAATAAACACAGCCATGGCCTTGGCGTTGTGCTAAATGCGAAAAGGGGAAGAGGCTTCACAGACTGTTCTGTTTAAAAAGAAACATTTCCTCGTACCTTAAATGTGAACTTTTTAAAACACCCCGGCCGGCACGGGGCTGCGAGTTTTCGGCGGTGTGTGGATGTGGCCCTGGCAGAAGGTTCTCCAGCCGGCGCTGCTCCTCCATCTCACCAGGCTCCCCCCAGGACCGATGGGGAACAGCACCTACCTCACCCTCGCCTCAAGCCCTACCATCCAAAGCCCCCGGTGAAGTCGGCTTCCCACGTGTTGCCCACCCTGGCAAGCCGGGTGCCGTGGCCATCCCTCCCACCCCTCACCCCCAACACAAGTCCTATGCAGTCCTAGAGCTGGAGCCCGTCCAGCCCAAGTGTGGTGAGACCCCATCTCCTCTGGAGGGTCCTCTGAGGCTGCCATCGCAAGCTCTTGCTAAAACCAGTGCCCCAACAGCTGCGTTGCGTTGGAGACCAGGCAGGGGAGTGTGGGCACTGAGACCTGCCTCAGCATGGATTGGGCAGAGCCCACTGCTTGCAGGGGGCATGGAGAGTGGTAAGGTTTGAAAGGAACTTTAAAAGCTCTGGCTTCATGGTCCCTGGAAGCTATGAAGAGGTGAAGTGAAGGTTGTAGCTGTGCTTTGCCGTGCCAGCAGGCCCTCACGCTGCCTGCAGGAGAGAAACCCGGCGGCCGTTCCTGTCCCGAGTGCTCCCTGGCGCTGAGGATCCGTCCTCTGAGCAGAAACCAGACCACAGCAGCACAGGTAAAGGACTTCTTTTAAAAATATATATATCCTCTTCATCTTTTATGTTGGAATGTATTGATTTATTTGCAAACTTAGAGCAACTTATATAACTTTTTTTCCCCCCTCCCTCCGGTCAAGGGTTAAATCTAAATACACAAGTGAAAGAACAACTTCCTTATTTGCAGGAGTCAGCAGCTTGCTCCCGGCTTATTAAATCCGTCCTGCCCCCTCTCCCCTGGAGGATTCCCGTTGCCTTTGTGAGACGAGGGGCATCATGGGCTGCGTCCGGGTTTGAGCTGCAACCCCCCAGCCCCAGCTGCTCTTCTGCCGGGCAGTGTGGCTGCTGGGTCGGTGGTGGTGGCCGTGAGTCTGTTTTGGGGGTCAAGAGGCCACTTTGCTCTGTCCCAAGCCGGGTGGCAGGGACTGACCCTGTACAACCCAGGCTTTTCTTTCCATCCCACCCACCAGCTCCCACCGTCAGCCCAAGCAAAGTATCTGGGGGGCCTTGGGTTGTGCTGAAAGGTTGAGGTCGGCACCCACAGGGCTGTTGCATGAGAGCAGGGATGAGATGGGGTGGGATGGGATGCTTTCCTCAGTGCCAGGGGCAAGAGCGGGTCAGAGAGCGAGGTGGGAAGCTGCCCAAGCCATGGCCGAGACCCAAGATGTCCTCTGAGAGCCTCAAGCTATACCCAAGGGCGGTGAGGAGACGGCGGTGACTGCGGGGCAGGTGCAGGGTGAGGGATGGCAGCAGGGACGGGGAGGGCTGGGAAGGGAGGGTGAGGAGGGTGGGAGGCAGGTGGATGGATGGCCTTGCCGGGAAGGACTGGGAAAGCAGTCCCAGTCGGCAGGAGGAGGGACGCGGGCATGGTGACTAAACTTCTTGTAAAAGGGGGTGGAGAAAGGAAAGGGAGGGACAAGAAGAGGGGAAAAAAAAAAAAAACAACAAAAAACCTGCATGTCAAGTCTGAGGAAATGCTGTGGGAACTACAGCCAGGCGCCCTTTTTTTTTTTTTTTTCTCTCTTCTTCTTCTTCTCTCTTCTCCCCTCGTGTAGCTGAGAGGAAGGAAAGGAAGAAAGAGAAGTAGCGAGCCCAAATGTGCCTCGCTCTGCTGCCGGGGCGCCGGGGCTTGGCTGGAAGGATCTAGTTTCTCTTCGGTGGCAGGAAAAGGAGCCACGGGAGGAGGGAGAGACGGACAGACAGACATGCCCGTCCCGTCAGGCTGCTGGCTCCTTCTCCTTTGCCTGGCTGCCGCTGGCAAACAGGTAAGGCTGGGCTGCCAGGGCTGACCGGAGGAGGGGGAAGGCGGGTGTCGCGTCTCCCCCCCGGGAGGTGCGTTTCGTCGCTCGGGAGGAGGTGGCAAAGTGGGATCCCGTGGCATCCCGCACCCCCGGCACTGCCAGAGCGGGCTGGAGCAGAACAGCTTCGCCTGTCTGTTTTCCCCTCTAGTTGCTTGGGTTTTGGTGGTTTGTGTTTTGGGGTTGGTTTTTTTTTTGCCCTGCAACTCGCTCTGTCTCACAAGCTTCTCTCGCTTCTTTAAAATCAAAATAGCCCAAACCCAGAGCTCCAAAGGAAGCCAGAGGATCTGCAGGGAAAACAGCCTGCTCTTGCCCAGAGCAGGGTGTGAGAAACCAGAAAATATTTGCAGTGAGGTTGCTGAGGGATATAATTTGCATGTAGAGTAAAAATAAGGCAGACTCCACCCTACCGAACAGATTTATTCAAGTGAGCGTGAGCACACTTGTCCCTCAGACGTGGGATGAGCACGTACAGGTCTTGGCAGCCCAGTTGCAGCTCCTCAGCCTCCCCCGAGGGGTGCAGTCCCCCTCCTGATCCCACCGCCCCACCATCCCAAATGTGGGCAACCCTCCAGCGGCCTCAGGATGTGGGCAGTGTTGGGACCCCAGGTCCATGGGTGGAAGACCAAGGCCCAGACTGGCTAGGTGACTCCCTTGGAAGGCCAGGTGCTGCTCAGGACAGAGCTGGGAAGCAAACCCCAGCCCCAGCTCAGCTGCCCCAGAAGGGCAGCCTCTCCAGGGTGAAGATCTGAGCAAGGTTTTAGCCCTGCGGTTCTTTGCAAACAGAGCTTGCTCTTCTCACAGCTTCAAGCGATGCCAGGTGGCTCATGGTCAGCGTGTTTTACGGTTGGGATCGCTGCTGGTCTTCCCCTGTTTCTTCAGAAAGACCATTTTCTACAGCCAGCTCTTGCTGAGCCTTGTGAATGGCACACGTCGGGTTTCCTCCAGCGGTTTAAATTTGCAGAATCTTGCTTTGCTTTTTCTAATTATACAGCTTAACAGTTATTCCTCTCCCCTTGGTTTATTTAGAGCCTTCTAGACTGGCAGGCTGTTGGCAAATCCCATGCTAGGGGCACTTTATTTCCTCCATTAATCGATGTTTGGCAGCCTCGCTACCATTTGTGTGTCTTTCATTTGAACTTCTAGTGTTTCTCTGTGTCTCATTATTCTTGATTAGTTGTGTCATTTTAAGTGCTTCCCTCAACACAGTGCTGTAACTGGGCCATGGCTGTGTTCCCTGAGAGCAAGGTGCAGCTTCAAGGAAAAAAAAAAAAGATAAAAAAACCCCATAACAAAACAAAAACCCCTCTGCTGTCTACAGCTTACAATTTAATGTCTGACCGCACAGTCCTGAGAGCCTTTCCTCTGGATCCCTGGTCCTAAATATGTTGCCTAAAACCACACAGGCCTTTTTTCCCCCCTCTAAACCATATGTTTCGTTCTGTCCACCCTCGCTCCTTAGGCTTCTCTTAAATTGCTGCTTTCCAGGTGTCCTCCATATGTATATGAATGAACCTGCGTATTTCAGAAGTGATTTTTACATCATAGCTTTCAGGTGGAAGCATCTGGTTTTGGTTTTTTGGTTTTTCTGCCTTGGTGTTCAGGACTGTGAACACCATCAATGCAGATCAATGCAGCAGGATGAGCAGACCTCAGTGTTCTTTGTACCTTTGCTTCAAGTCACTGACTGTTAAATATTTGCTTCCTTCTGGAGCCATTTGGATTTGGGGCAGTCGTTCCCTTTGGGATCTCCTTACTGCCTGGAACCTGCTCAACTCTTGACCAAACCTTGGAAATTCAGATTTCCATGCTATAGCTCCCAGCACATTTCAGGTACCCTGATGTAAGAACCAGGAGGAGCTCCTTGTTATTTCTCGCCTCTCAATTCATAACCTTTCAGAGGATGCAAAACAGGGAACTTGTATTCATTTGGGGCTGATGTGTAAAGTCTTTCCACTGCATTCAACATGTGCTCTATTCTGAGTCTGTAAGTGGTTGCACAGGGTGCAACTTTCAATAGCCAATGCCTTGGACAAGTAGCAGTAGAAGATAGTAGAGGGCTCCAGGAAAGCAGCAGTGTAAGCTTACCTAGGAAAAGCCATCTTTTGTCAAAGAGCCAGTTAATATAATCGTGAGCAGGACCTGCAAGCCAAGAATGTGAAAGGAAGACACGCCTGGAGAGATGCTATTCCCAGCCACTCTTTCAGGTTCTTTACGTGACTGATTTGAACAGTGGTGTCTTGTAAGAGTGCTGACTTCTGGTGGAACAAATTGTGGCAATAAGTGCAGTAGGGCTGAAGTTTGTCTGATGCACTTGTGTTAGTTTAGAATTGATGGTATGGTGGGGTAGTGGTAGGGCAGTGATATCTGCAATGAATTTCCTGCCAAGAATGAGAAGCACTTGGAAATGTTAGTTAATGAGTACTCATAATTCTGCTGAGAATAGACATGATCATCGTCATCATTTTCACCAAAGAGGAAACAGGAACAGAGAATTCGTGACTTGCTGTAGGTCACACACCGAGCGTGGAGCAGAACTGCTGGGAGCAGAGCTCAGCCCTCCTTGTCTTGTGCTTCAGCCACAAGATGATCTTTCCAAGTGATTCGTCTTGAGCTCCTGTCAGAGGGCACAATGTTTTGCTTTCTGAGGCACCATCTGCTCAGCTGCTTTGTACAGAATAGTGACCTCCCTTTCCTTGCTTAACACTGTTGAAGAGCAGAGATGTTTGTTATCAGGTGGGAGTTAAAGCCTGTGAGAATGTGCATTTCCAAATATGCAATAAACCAGTTTCCTTGTTTAATGCCGAGGACTCTTCTTCTCCTGAGTGGCAAGGGGGTGGGCTCTTCCACTACTCCGTAATATTTACTTTATAGGGAAAGTTTACTCACTGCAAGCATCTGTAATTCTTTGTAATATAGACAAAATTTTGCCCAAATCTCTTCATTATCTTTTAACTTCCTAGAATACAGAGTCTTTATGATGAGGGGGGAAAAAAGACCATAAAAATCTCCATGCTGTGTTATATCATGGGCTCTCCTGGGCTCACTCCTGCTCTGGTCAGGGCCAAAGTTATCATTCAGTAGAGCAAAACATCTACAGCATCTAAACTAAACTCCTGGATACATTCTGTTGTTAACAGCCCGGGTTTCAAAGTTACTGTAATTCTATTATATCACTTGTCAAAATGCCCTTGCAGGAAAGGGTTCCTGCAGGGGAGACTGGGAAGTTTTTGCAGTTTCCCCCAGAACATGTGAAACATCGTACAGCACCTCATATAAAAGGAATATAACGCATATAAAACTGAACCAATCCACAATTTAAGAAACCTCTGCCGCTTCTCTTTTCATGTTAAGTGTCATCTGCCTGATGTAATTTCTTCTTTCCCACAAATGGGACCAAAACAAACCACCACATTTCACAAGTCAGTAGAATTCAAAGCTTATCAGCCATCTCGAGGGTACTGACCAATGTCATTTATGGCACAGGGCTTTCTTCACACCCTGCCAGAAGAAAAAAATATAAAATGCAGGTCAAGCAGAGAGTTTAACCGTGGCTCTAAGAATCTGTTCCTGTTGCCTGTTGCTGTCATCCCAAGCACCCTCGGGCTCAGAAGAGTGGGATGTAATTTGACTGCTCTGCAAGAACCAGCGCAGACGGTAGAAGGGATGCGTGCGTAACTGCAGCGTAGGAAATCGGTGGCACTCAAAGTGGTGCCCTCTGGCATGCATACCTTAATGCTGTTTAGAGGAATCATGTTTGAGTCACTTCGCTATCTTTATCTGTCTGTCTCTTGGAGTTCAAGTGGTGGAAGACCCTGCCGCACGAGGTAGACGCAACGAGAAGATAAGCAAGGCTGTCCTCTTGCTCCTTCCTGCCAGCTTCCTCCCTGTACCACCTGGGCTCCAGGAGGTGTTCTCAGTGACCAGATCCAGCAGGGTTCCTGCCACCACGTGCTGTGACCGCAGGCTCCAGGCCTCCATCCACCCCGCGCTGCAAGGGGCTGCCCCGCAGTGGGAAGGCTGGTGGACACTTGGAGGGGGACGGTTGCTTCAGATGCTGGTTTAGCTTACTGGGGGTGGGCAATGGGGAGAAGAGGGAAATGGAGGTGGCTGGTTCATGAGGTCCTCAGCTGCAACCGTGCTTCTTGCACTGGCTGCCCTCTTCCTTTCAATGGAAACTCAACTTTCTGGGCAGCACCAGCCTCTGCTGCCACTGCCCACCTTCTGGTTTAAGTTGCGTGCTGGTTGGCGCTGCCTGCGTGGAGAGGCAGCTGCTCTGGGAATGGCTTGTTACTACCGACCGAAAACACAAAGGCAAATATTTGTGTGTTATAAATGCAGTATAAAACTCAAGTGCTGTTTAACCAGGCTGCACTATGGACTTGGGTCGTCCTCAGTCTGTGTAACACAATAGCCTGCCTGCAAGAACTTGCCCCTTTTTATGACTTACTCCTCTTCGAAAATGGTCCGAAGTTCATGTAGCAGAGGGAAGACAGTTGTTGGACCTCCATGGCACGGAGCAGCGATGGCTGGATGTCGCAGGGTGGGCTGCAGGAGGGTGTGCTGGCACCCAGGGCAGTCTGCTGTCGTATCTGCTCAGTGGCAGCAGGGTTTGGTGTGATGCTTCAGCTCTGGGGAAATGCAAGTTTCCTGGTTTTTTTGCTTTGTTTGTGTGTCCCTGCAGTTGCAGTGCTTGCAGAGGGCTCAGCACCACACCAGAGGAGCGATGCTGACTTACACCCGGTGCTCCGGGACATCCTGGTTTTTGTCCCATGCAGCCACCTGGCTGCTCTTCACAGTCCTCCCCTCAGTTACCTTTTTGTTTGCTTTTTCAGGGTGTGAGTTCTCTGGGCCGAGGGCTTGGTTTTCTTTGGTGTTTGTACTGCGCTTAGGATGTCACGGCTGCAAACAAAGCCAAAGAGTCGTTAATCACCAGAGGATAAAGCCCTGGCCATTCCCCACTGGAG